GATGAAAATATAACCAGATTATTTCCAAATGAAACATTTTGATAGTCAGTCTTGCCTGGAGATGAAACTTGTGTCCAAAAATTTGTTTTTTCACATGCTTAAAAAATTTCAGAAAAGAACTTGAAATTGGTCTCTGAAGGAGGTAAAGGAAAACTATTTGGTGACAGGGAAAATAGATTTCTGAATACTTTCTGAACACTTTAAAATCAATTTTCAAACAATTTTAGTGTTGTTTTTGATCATGGCTTATATTTTTATTGTTTGTTATCACCACGTAGAAAAATGCCCTGGTGTTTCAAACCCCAATGTTTCATCTTGGAAGATGAAAAATTCTTATGAAATAGTATTTTACAGACATCTCTTGATTATATAATTTTTAAGGTAGAAATAAAGAATCAAAGAATTTAACAAGAATTGGTTTTGGAAGTAAACAAATTATCCTACTTTTAACAGAGCAAATTTATTACACACATATACTAATATATAATACTAGATTATATATATATATATATATATATATATATATATATATTGCATTTATGAGCTTTGATGAGCAGGATTGAGGTACAAATATATCTTGCTTCTACACTGGAGAATTCATTCATAATTTTTTTTACATATTGGTAAATTTTTAATATTAATTGATTGGGATAAAATCAGTGAAAGTTTAAAAATAGCTCATGGCAGGGGTAGGTAAATGTCATCAAAAATATTTGCCTGTTGGGCATTAACAAGATCTAGTTTTGAGTCCATACGCCCCACACCATCTAAAGTGCAAATGCTAAAGGGAATTGGGGAAAAATAATAGAAAACAAAAATCAGATGGAAAGGAGAGCCAAATATTACAACAGGAAAAAGCGGCTGATACATAGGAAGATAAAATTTCCAGGTACTCCCCCTTTAATGGGGGAAGAATAATATAGACAGGGCAGATGAGGAAATTCGAGGCCCAGTGCCTTCATGCCATAGAGGTCAAAACCACCTTACAGGTCTAGTGTCCAGGTGGTAGTCCAAGAAACAGCCAAGCAGGCAGAAATTCGTGGACTTCGCTGCTTTCCAGTGAACTATGGACTTGACCCAGATAATCATAGTAAGCTGCTGGCAGAACATCAAATTTTTGACTTTAAGTTGTTAAAAGAATTAAAACAGGGTACTGAATAATGGAACTAAATGGCCATTTACCATGGGGATTTTAGATTCTGTCATGGAGATGCATCATTTAATGCCTAATGATGCAAGACATCATGTTCACTCCTGTGTCTTTTAGTTAGTTCTTACATTAAGTGTTCAATTGCAAGAGCAAGCTAAGGATCAGGCTGACAGAAACACATGCAATGATAGGGCTAATATAACTGCAGCAATGTTATTGTGACCAGGACAATTTGCAGATGGAACATAACAGCTGCGGTATACCAATGAGCCTTTTGAACAAATAGGACATATAATGAACAAATGCTTGGATTACTTGGCCTGAAGATGGGATTGTGATCTAGTCTTTGGTAATATCTTGTAAGGACCAAGAGAACCTTACTTGCAGTTAATGCCTGACTACAAGAAGCTGAACACAGACAAATTCCTTGTGCTCAAGCAGCTGAAATTCTTGTTCTTCAACTCATTTATGACAATGTCAACCAAGCTTATAAACAGACTTGGTCAACTGTACATGCTTCTAAAGATTTAAACAGCTATGTTGAAGTTTGTCCAGGTACAGGTTCGGAAATGGGTGGTGTTTTAGCTCAAGCTATACTGGCTTTTACAAAACAAGATAAGACCAGGACAAACATATTACATGTTTTAATTGTGGTAAAATGGGACATTTTTTGCAGGCAATGTATATACTAACTCCAGTCTGGGAAGTAATTAGGTTGAACTAGGTTTCTGCCAGTGATATGACAAGGGCTAGATGATGTCATGCTAAATATCACAGTGAAAGAATTTGTCTGTCAAGAAACAGTAATGGGGCATATTATGGTTTTCATCTATATGTCCCCCAAAGCCTCATGCAGTCATGGGGAAACTACTATAGTCTGTGATTAATTCATGATCAAATGCTGGTATTATAGGTTTGATTGCTACACCCACTCTTATCCTGAATGCAATACAAGGAATGGAGAGATGCTTGCTCTGCGCTGCTACTGTAGCTGAAACTGCTCTTCCCTTTTTGCTTTTGCTGTTTTGTTCTTCCACACCCACGAACTGCTGCCCTCTGTCGTGTGTGACTCTGCCTTGGAGCTGGCTAATTGAAACATTCACAAACTATGAGCTAAATATTTTTTTCCTTAATTCTGGGGATTGGATAATTTGTCCCAAGAGCTCAACCCTGCAGCCCCATACAACTAGAGGTGACACTATTAGGGGGGCAAGCTTCAAATAAGATTTCCAATCAAAACCTCAATCATATTTATCCAGTCTAAACCAAACAGCAGGCATAAATTCCCACAGGAATATTGCCTCTCTCATTAAAAGAAGTACAGGATTAGATCTACCAGCACCCAAAAGAGAAATTTCATTGGGCAAGATAAGACATTTGCTATTCCCAATGAGATTTGAGATCTAATTGAATTAATTATGGGGAAATCTTCTTTAAGTATAAATGGCCTTAGTATTGTACCTCATATTAGTGATAAAGATTATGAAAATGAGATTTTTTTTAAATTTTATTTATTTATTTATTGTATTTTAGAGAATCTATAGGGTGTTCAGGGTCTCACTACTAGATCGGACTCATAGTGACCTGCTTATTTGGCCTCCCAAGAGCTGTAATTACAGGTACATGCCACCACACCCAGTCACAATTGCCATCTCGAAGTGTTGCAGGGGTGGGGCTGGCACAGCTTTAATCTGCTAAACTATTTGACCAGCCCTTGAAAGTGCGAGTTAAATATTGGTGTAGACAACAGATAGTTGTGTAATTTACTCTGAAGAAAAGATTTCCCGATTTATATTATTACCAACTGGTGATGCTTATTTTAAACAGAGTCCTTGATTAGGATGAAGAAAGCAAGAAACTTCAAAAAGATAAATTTATTTTACACAGAAGCTGGCAGAAGAACCACCCATGTGCTCCATTAAAATTAACAGAAAAACCTTGAGTACCTATGAGATACTCCTGGTGCTCATGCTTTTAAAATCTCATTTCACTAGTGGCATGCTTGCTGGCCCGCTATTCCAGCTTCTGCATCATTGGTGGGACGTGGGTCAGCCCAAAATGTTTTATGAAGTGAGTCTCCCTCAGTGTATCATGGGCCTGATAATGAAACTGGTTTATTTCTTTCCCTTTGTAGCCTCAATTCCAGTAAATGTGTGGGGAAGAGATTTATTAAAAGACTGAAAAATGAAATTGACTGCTGAATCCTCCTCCTTTGCTTAAAAGATTATCAGTAACATGGGGTATGTGCAAGGGAAAGGATTGGCAACAATTAGTCAAAGAAACCCCCAGCCTTTAGGTGTTAAAATTCAGTTAGACCACACTAGAATCAGTTATCAAAACCCATTTTTAGTGGGGGTAATTGATGCTTTCTTACTTAAGCAGCTTTTCCCTTACAATGAAACACTGAAACTCCTGTTTGTATGGATCAATGGGCTTCGAAAAGGAGAAGTTTCTACACTGAATTAATACAGGAGCAATTTTAATTAGCCCATTTGGAGCTGTCAGTCTTTGGGACACGCTTGGGTTTGTTATTCCTAAAAACTCTGGTAAATAGAGATTTTACAGTATTTAAGAGTAATTAATGATTATTTGCAGTTGATAGGGGTTTTGCAGCTAGGGCTTTCACACACACCCTCCCCTGCACATACACTTATTGTCACAGATCTCAAGGATTGCTTCTTTATAATTTCCTTATATCTTTTGATTGCCAAAAGCTTTTTATTAAAATGTAGTGTAAACTTTAAGAAGCCTATGAAAAGGTATCAATGGAAGTCTCTTCTACAAGGGATAAAAGTAGAGTGATTTTGTGTCAATCTTTAGTAGGACAAGCCCTGCAAAATGCCAGTGAACAATTCACCTAAAGCATACGTAAGCTATTGCATGGATGATATTTTATTAGCAACTAATTATAAATGTCAGTTCTATGACTTATTTGCCTTGGTGATAAGTGATTTAAAGGCTTTTGAACGTTTATAGTTCTTGATAAGGAGCTCCTGATAAGACATGCTCCTGATAAAATTTCCCGCCTTTATTATTATTCGGAAATTTTATTAACAGATCAAGTATTGAGACCTGAAAAAGTCAAAATAAGATCTGCTGTTGACTTTGAATGATTTCTGAAAGTTGATAAGATATACTAATTGGGTCTACCTTAAACTAGGCACAGCCACTTATTAATTTAAATATCTTTATAAAATCCTGCAGGTTGACCTGGTTGCCTCTCCAGGCATCTTAAGCATGAAGGCCTCTCCAGAGCTACAGCTAGTAGGATCAATGCTGCACCAGTGACAGGTGTATTGTGTTAAATTTCAATATCCTCTTATTCTGTATGTTCTTGACACTCAATATTCACATACAGGTTTGTTAGATCAATTCTAAGATAGTTATTCCCCATAGAATGGCTTTATCTTCCTAATCAACTGGTAAAAACTTCATAATTACATACTCAACAAATGGCTATAATTATAATAAATGGAGGAATCCATTTCAATCAGCTCTTTGCCATTGACTCCTTTATAATAATTTTACACATAGAATTAACTTACTGCTGTATTATTACAATAAACTGCATATTGGCTGATGTCTTTTACAGACTTCACCGGACAGGTTGATAATTATTTTCCTAATAATCTCCTCCTCCAATTCTTTCTTAAATGCCCTTGCATTTTACCTAGAATAACCCATTTAAAGCCCATTTCCTATGTACCTACTTCTTTTACAGATAGTCTTTCTAAAGGAAAAGCAACCATAAGTAGTCCAGATTTTCAGCATGTTATTTTAACCACTAATCTTTCAGCAGAGTGATCAGAAATAATTGTCATTATGTTTGTTTTAGAAATGGCACAACAAACTCTTATGAGTATTTTCAGCAATTCTGTTTATGCAGTGTTTCTCACCCAAAGGCTTGAAAGTACTACTTTGTAGGCCACTTTAGACCTTCCTGGCTTAACTTACTGTCCCTTTCTTCATCAGACATATCAGATCTCATTCTGATAAGAATAGATATTACACTTGATCTTAGCCAAAAGACTGAGAAGTAATTCAGATCTCATTCTAATTTACCTGCACCTTTAGCTTATGGTAATCAACAGGCCTATTCTTTAATTGCTTTTATTTCCTACTTTTACCTGGCTAAACAGTCAAATGTGTATCATTAACAAAGCAGTAAAGACTTTCAATTGTCATGTTTTTACAAGCCAAAAATATTCTCTTTTGCTCTATCTCACCCAGGACCCAAAAAAGGTAGTAATCCCAGGGGCAGAGACACTCAAATTTGCAATGGATGTTATTCATATCACCTCTTTTGGACACTTGCAATATGTTCACATTTCTATTGATACCTATTCTCACTTAACGCATGCTTCTTGTCATTTTGTAGAAAAATGTAGAACATGTTCAACAACATTGTTTGTCTGGCTTTTGCCACTATGGGGTTACCAAAAACAATAAAGAACAGGAGATTGTCCTTAGTATAATGGCAAAACATTATCTTCTTTTTTACACATATAGCATATTAAGCATCTTACAGACATTCCATATAAAGCACAAGGCCAAGCTGTAATTGAAAATGCCCATTTAATGTTGAAAATCAATTAAATAAACAAAAAAGGGGAAAACCAGATTCCTCTGCAGGCTTGACTGAACTTTGCTATCCTCACCTTAAATACATTAAATCTGGGGCTGGTGAGATGGCTCAGTAGAATAAGTTCTTCCCTGGCAAGTGTAAGGGCCTGAGTTCAGTCCCCTGGTCTGCCAAAAAAATACATTAAATCCATGATCAGAAGGCAACTGCACTGGCTGAGTTGCACTGGAAGTCTGAGCCTGACACTAAATTATCACATTTTCAAGTCTTGTGCATAGATATACAAACAGGTAATAGGGAAGGTCTGTCACTGTTTAAAATCTGAGGGTGAGAGTATGCTTATACTTTACTAAAAGATGGATTGCGACTGAGGCTACTATCCAAGAATGTGTGACTTTGGAAAACAGACGTCCACATGGTTGCATTGGTTGATCACCCTCCCTGTCAGATTGCTGACAGTGGCTTTTGCACAGATGAATCTCTACAATCAACTGGCAGTTATTCTAATGCTACAAGTGATGAATGCCAAACCAATTATGAACAAGGGCTTGGAAGTGCCAAAGCACTAGTGGACTATCAGGGCCCAGCATAGACTGTTGCCATTATATTTGCTGCTATGATAACTCTCTTAGCACGCACACTATGTGTACATTCAGTGTCCGTGATAGAATACTGGGTTGACATTTCCAATCTCCTCTTATTAAGATCAGTTACTTGGATGGATCTCCCACCTGAAATTTATTATTAAACTAACACATTCCAATTATCAATTAATTTACTAACAGGTGCATCCATCCTTATAGACATGAAAAGTAAGGCAATTGTTAATATAATTCTCACTTAACAGACTTTCCTCTGTATATGGAAGATGTTTCCACACACTCTAATTCTTGTTATGTCACTTCATCTCAGATCTGATTGGCCAATAACACTAAAACCTTTATGCTAACTCTGAGGTCCATAGTCTATATAACTATAGGGAAAAATCTTTTTGTAATTGAGTTTTGATTATTGTTTGTTTGAGGCCAAGTGTTTTGCCACTATTCTCAGAGATAATCTCTTTTTACTGGCCTGCTTACCACTAAACATAGTTTGAATTGCCATTAACAGTCTGTTTCATTAAAGAGTAAAGTCATATGTGGCTATCAAAAAAGCAGTGAGTAGTCTGCATGGCAAGAAATTCTGATCATATAAACCACCAGCCTAGAGCCTGTCTTTGCTTTCACAGCTGTAAAACATTTTATCCCTTATTATAAAAATATCTTATTTTTTGTATTTAGGACAGCAT